AGCTCTGTTAGGAAGAAAAGGGTAAAATCAATACCACTTAACTGATTCCACAGTGACGTATCCTAATAATTCTGCTGTGTTCAAAACATCATCTTTCTTAAGGATCAGGGTCTGTAGTCCACTTAGCCCTGAGGGACCTATAGCAATGGTCTTCACCCCATATTTATGAGTTGTTTACATCATAGCTGTGTTTCCCCCAACCCCCCAGAAACAGGAATTCAGAAACTATTGGAGCCTGTTGTAAAGCAGCAGTAATCTGTTATTACTTGCCAACCAGGAGGACACATCACGCAGCACAGCTGGTGTGGCTGCGGTTGAAGTATGTAATTCCTGCTTGCCTTCCACTAAATTCTTACCAGGCTGAAGCAAATATTGAGTAAAAAGGTCTCAGGCAAGATAAGTTTTTGTCATTTTGAAATGTCATAAACAGATGGAAACTTGACTGAAGTCTCTGAAATGGTCACAGACTGGCCTTCTGGTACTGTGTGTGGCTTCATGCTAAAGCTCAGGGGAAGTATCTCAAAAATTTTGAAACCATCTGAAAATATGCTGAAAATTTTAGTAGATAAGGACTGCAGATAGCTCAGTAAAATGAAATTAACACCATAGATAGTTATGCTGTCAGCTAGGCAAGGACAGCTAAATTGGCTAAGAATTATCTGTAAAACAGCCCTACCTCATTAGTTTTCAGGCTGATCGGGTTGTGGGGGCAAAAGGAGGTGACACAGGCAGTGGTGCCCAGGGGTGGGTTTTGTGGACAGGAAAGGACTGCATTTACCAGCACATCCGCACAGTTGTGCGGCCACATACCGAGCTCAGGTGCCTATGTGTTGAACCTCACCCAGAGGGCTCCGCTCTCAAAGGCAAAATCTGTTAAACTTTAAAGAGCTCTGCTTTTGGCATCACAGCACTTTTGCAGTCCTTGGAGACTTGCAGCTCCCATCAGCATCCCTGGATACCCACAGATGCAGGGCTGACTGTTTTTACACTGCACACATGACTTTTTTTTTGTATTCATGGAGCAAGAGCAAGACCAACATAAAGTTTTACTAGCTCTCATTTTTCTTTTTCAGTGCTAAGGAAAGGGATGATCATCAGAGAGGATAAGGGCCATTAAAAACTCAATATTCCATTACAGTGATTGTTTTATGGCCTCATTTTGCAGCATCTTCCTTTATCAGGTGTGCAGCTTCATTGCTTGTCCTATAGCTCATGTGGTTCAATAGTTTATTATTTGCAGGACACTGTAATCCTGTTTCCAGAACCGAAACCGGCACAGAGACTGCTCTGGAGTGAACATTATAGAAGACCTGACTCTCCAATCTGTTAGCCAGTTTTGGTACTCTGTCTCCACAGATTTCTGTGAAGATAGACAGAGAAAAATGTTGAAGATCAGACCTTGCATTGCTGATAGCTTTTAGTGAAAAAATGGGATGTTTTATGAAGCACTACTGCATGAAAAATAGCTGTGCTTCATTTTCTGTTAATTGCCTGCCCTTAGCTAAGCCCAAGTGAAGTTTTGTGGTACCCCATAGATGATGAAATGTTTGCTATCTCACATCTTGAAGACAGAAAGAGCAGAACAGTAATGCTTGGAAAACGCCCTGCTGTCTCCTCCACAGCAAGGCAAAAGCTCACACATTTGAAAGCTGTAAACATATTCCAACTCACGTTTATTCACATTACTGCTTTCACATAGATGTGGTACAAGATACTGCTCATTTCAGACAGGGCCACTGACATGCTGCAGTAGTCTTGATAACATTTATACCATGGATTAATACTGTACTCAGAACATTAATAAATACTTGAAAAATCCATAAATTACTTACATCAAACTCCTCTGTAAAAGTATTTACCTTATTTAAATGGATTTATTTTGGTGTCAAAATATATTGTAACATGAACTGCTGGGTGCAACTGTTCTGACAAATTTTGTGAGCCTGGTATGGCCTTTGTCACTGCTGTAAATCTGCCCAAGTTTGGGACTGAGCAGAAAGTAATGAAAAACCTGCAGAGCCAAACTAGATTTGATCTGAAGATGCTCACTTTGCTCTCATTAAAAGCAGCAGATCTTTAAGGAACATGTCACTTCCCAGGAACCTCCCGTAGGCTGGTGTTCAATGATCTGCTGCTCTGGCAATGCCTCAGCCCAGGATGAAATGTTAGATGCTTCAACCTCAGCCCAAGCTGAAACGCTGGGTGCTTCAAGCTCTTCTGAGTTCTCTGAGCACATGAAAGTTCCTCACACGTACTTGTGTGTGCGTGTGCGTGATACTCAGCATCCCCACCGAGCAAAACCGAGCAGCTGCACTGGGTTCATGATGAGGCAGTCCCTGGCTGTGCCATTTAGACGTAGCCTTCATGGCAGGCGTGGTTGCCATTGATCAGGCTGAAGGTGGCCAAGGAATGGTTGGTGCTTTTGAGGGAGGTCATTCGCGTGGTGCTCCGGGCCATGCTGTGGGAGCGGATGAGGAGGCGAGCTCTGCAGCAGAAGAGCTGGTTGTTGAACTGTTTCCGAAAGCTCTTGCTGAGCAAGTAGAGAGCAAACGGGTTGACACAAGAGTTAGTGAAAGCCAAGATCCGAGCGCAGATGCTGGAAATGAAATGCAGCACTGAGGTGTCCACCTCCGAGTAGTGGTAGGACCGGTATAAATAGATTATGTGCGTGGGAAGCCAGCAGAAGGCAAAGAGGCACACAAAGACCAGTACTGTCCTGGCCAGGCGCTTACGGGATTCCATCTGGAAGGAGAAAGAGAAATGCAGGTGAGCAGTTATTCCTCTCTCAGACCAGTAGCTGACAATTTTTCCCAGTGCTGCGGCTTCGGGGCTAGTGGATGGCAGGCAGCATGGCCAGAGCGGGGCAACTTGTACCGCAGGTGATCACACTGAAGAATGGTTCTTGTCTCTCCTCAATCCTCCAGGCGCTTACGGGATTCCATCTGGAAGGAGAAAGAGAAATGCAGGTGAGCAGTTATTCCTCTCTCAGACCAGTAGCTGACAATTTTTCCCAGTGCTGCGGCTTCGGGGCTAGTGGATGGCAGGCAGCATGGCCAGAGCGGGGCAACTTGTACCGCAGGTGATCACACTGAAGAATGGTTCTTGTCTCTCCTCAATCCTCTAACATAAGGAAGTAATCTTTCCTTTCCTGTTAAGAGAGAAAATTCCAATAGCTTGTCACTTTGTAAAATTCCAGCTCTGGCAATACAAATGTGGATGCCTGCATTAGTTATCCACCTATAATATATACAATCATATGTAATTTATATAAATTAACTTATTATTATTAACATTATTATTAATAGTTATGGGATAGGGTTCTGGGATATTTCACAGACCTCAGAGGCGGGATTTTCTGCCTTGGGGCCATGTGGTATATGTACACCAAAGTACTGCCAACAGCTCACAGCCCTTAGAGACCTAGTGCAGTGCTCAGGGGCCAAAGAAGCCAGAGAAACCAACACAGGAAATTCTGCACTTTGAGAAACACTGAGGCAGTGGTGTGGTGGACTTTTCAGCCAAAAGAGCTGGGACTACAAGAAAGCAGATGTAGGTGGTGAGTAGATGGATAATCATCTCTCTGAAACATAATTTGAGCTTTGTCAGGGAATGGTGCTTTTATAATGTCATCTAGCACACAGTATAACCCTCATGCAGGCAAGCCACACTTTTGTTTTACTTAACGCATACAGGCTTGGCATCAACCCAAAGATATTGCTCAGCTGGGGGGAGCTGAGGTGAGTTGTACCTTGTCTTTTGTCCACTAGTGTTGCTCACTAAGATAACAATGCCACTGAAAACCACATCTTTCTTCCTAACGAAGGCAAGAGCCATGGCAGAGATCATCCAAATGGAGACGACAGACAGATTTGCCCAGAAAGACCTGCTAAAATGCACTGCTTTCTGGGAAAGGTTATGCAGCCAGAAGTTTGCAGGTACATAAAGTGTAACACAATTGACCTTTCAGGGCTTCATAATGTTCTGCTCTCTGGTAACCTCTGCACATCTCCCCAGGCACTCCTAAGGAACTGCTGCCACCCAATCCCTGTATCTGACTATGTCCTGAACGGCCTGAAACTTCCTCCAGCCTCGTTGCTCCTCTGGCCCCATTGCCCTTGCTTCTGCCTTGGTGCAGCTGCAGTGCCTAGCCATGCTCCTGAAACTCTGCCTCATCCTCATTCACCTTCTGAGCTGCACAGATAAATCATAAATTGAGCAGATCACACAGGCTGATCTTTCCTCAGGACAACTGCAAGCAAGGAGTAGACAGGAGAGACCTAACAAGCCAATTTTGACTTTATTTTGTGCCTCTCTAACAGCACTGACCGAAAGTCAGCCATCGAGCTTAGGAAGGATTGACATGTACCAGATGATAATGTCTCCAGAGAGCGGGCTGAAAATTAAATCCTTTGAGAAAGGGCTCTTCTTGGTTAAACCATATATTCTTTTAAAATGTATCCTTAATTTGATATAGGGCTATTGAGGCCACATCTGCACTATAAAGAAAGGAAGCAACACAATAAAGAAATCAATACCAGTTATCTCAGATGGAGACCTATAGCTTCTGAATGCACTGTAGGAGAGGAATGATGGACGGACGGTGCTAGACTGCAGCCCGGCCTTTTGCTTTCTTTCAAGCTCTCTCCCCAAAACCAACTGGGGAAAAGGCTGCTTTTCCTACTCACTTTATCGTCACTAATCAAAACAGTCATTGAATCAGCAGAAAAATGGCCTGCAGGGGAAAAAGATTTACATGTATTTAAAAGGGGAAAAGGATAAGGATTTCAGGGATCACACATCACTTAATGGGCAGATAACACAGTTTTCCAGCCCTGCTGTTTCACCTTAGCACCTGATGGCTGTGTGAGGTGATTACCTTAGGTCAGTCTAAGGTGGAGAAGTCAGCTGGGTGCAATTGTATGGACATTTGTTTAGCTGAAGAATGGCTTGTCTAACTTAGGTTGAAGCACACCCCAGTTGAAAGGAAGAGGTAAGGCAAATAAGATAAATATAACAAGGTAACTAAGCTGCTTAGAAAGCAGTTATCCTGTTGTTGCTTTCTTACTCAGAAAACCTAAGTCTCAGATGCATTCAAATTTAAGCACTGACCCATAATATGCAGTTGCTTATGGATTTGGATTTGGATTTGGATTTCCCCCTGGAGATGAATTTCTTTTTTTTTTTTTTTTTCCCTCTACAGTTACTTACAAAAGGAGCAGTCAAGAGGAAAGAGTCTCCAGTTGAAAAGCTGGAATTAGGTTGGCCAAATCCTGGCTAAATCCTCTCACTTGGTTTAGGACTCACACATTGTCAGCCACACATTTTCAGCCAAAACATGAAGCTTGAAATACGTAGGTCCCAGCTAAGCCAGCCCAAGTGTGAACTCTGCGGTGGGATGGTTTGGTGAGTTTTATAAAAAAGCCACTGAATAATGACAGTAACAGAAGTAGCTCTGCTTTCAAAGGTACAAACGGAAGAAGATTAAAAGATTGTATTATTCCAGAGAAAATGGCCTATTTATATAAATCAAAGGCTGTCTTAAGGTGAAACCTGAGGTTACCAGCTATTAGACCAGAATGACTAGTCTGACTTATTAGAGGGCAAATAACAGGTGGACAGGTTACTCTGTCCAACACCACCTCCCTCTGGAAATAACAGAAAAAGAGACATTGGCAGAAGGAGAATTATAATGACAAAAAGGTTTAAGGGAAGAAGACAGGACTAACCTTTTCTCTTGAGAATTCACACTGCAAAGATCACACCATCCACAAGACATGTAAGTTCAGTTCATCTGTGAGGACTCCACACTTCTGCTTTGTTCTGCTTCCTGGGAACCCTGCACCCACTTCTGGGCTCCACTTCCCCAGTCCCTCTCTAGTCTTTCCTGATTTCTCAACGTGGCATAACGTCAGCAGAAGACAGCTAAAGCCATGGTGAGTGCAGGAGGCACTGCCACTCTCACAGAGCAGCTAGCTGCCTCCCACCCTGACCAACCGGTACTCCTGGCCGTGGGGGGTCCTTGCAGAAGGGGTTTCCTTCACCTCCACTCCCCCACTGCTGTGTCCCCTTTGCTTTTCAGTCCAGAGGGCTGAGTTACAATGCCAACATTTGCCTCTGTGAAGAGGGACTGTTTCACAGAGCAAGGCTTTATTTAAGGTCCTGTCTCTAACAAAGCAACTTCAGGAAGTTTTGTTTTCTGCCATGTCACCCCTCAGCTTCAGTCTTCAAACAGAGTCTCCAGCTATGAGTCAATACTTTCCCAGGTTTTGGCATGGGTATCCTGCTGTGTTTGCCATGGTACACCACTCTGCCAAAGTTTCTGAACTTAGAAACATGAGAAGATGCTTTCACTGTCTAGCACAGTGCCATATCTTTTGTCAACCATTTAAATTCTTTTAGCCCACCTAATCTACTAAAATTAGCACAAACGTTGCAGTCTGTCCCTGTGTGATTTTCCCTGTATGCACACTCTTTACTACCAGATTCATGAGGAATGTGGATTTTTGAAGAAAGTCAAGGCTCTACCTGTTTCCTCACATGCATGTTTCCTTCCACAGGGATGTTGTAAGCACTCCGGATCAAATTCTTAGCAATGAAATAATAATATACTGAAATGACAGATAGGGGAATGATATAAAAAATGAGAAATGATGCCATTGAGTGAATTTTGGGATGCAGCCCATCAGAATGCGGGTAAGGAGCACAGCTGACAAAAGTTTTATTAGTCCCTTTGTCATGGAAAGGGTGCAGATCTGAAAACACTGCTTCAGGGATGGCAAGCAACATGGATACAATCCAGATTATAGCAGCTCTCACACAAATCTTCATCAGTGCATGGGATGCTTGGATCTCCATTGGTCTTACTATAGCTTTATACCTAAAAAAGAAAAAAGAAAAGGTGATTTTTTTGAGCTCAACACTCAGGCATTGTATTCATGCTTGTCTTTTCCTTTTGAAAAGCAAACCAAAATCCTTCTTTACTCAAGACTACATTTTTTTCTGGTGTTTTAAATTTCAATATTTGCAATAGATTTCTCATTTTAAACCAGAGCCACCTGTCATGAGTCCATTCAGTTTTATGTGTATTGATTCTTATTTCATTTAATTTGTAATCAACCCAACAAAGCACGGTGCTGCCTGACATTAATATGTATGTGTCCAAATAGCATTAAGATAGGACATGCAATCATAGACTTCTCTTCAAAAATATACAGCAGTTCACACCCCTTCACAGAACGATGTTGAAGGCAACAGGATGAAGATTTTGCCATGCATTTTGTTTTGAGCTCTGAGCACACTGGTCTCCTGCAAGCCAAATCTTATATTTTCTCAGGCTACGAATAGTGTGTTGCCCATTTTAATTGCTGTTTGCTGGTGTAGCTGGCGTTTAACAGTTTTCCATAACTCAATGCACACAGGCTAAGTAGTCTGAGCTGCTAATTGACTTGAAGAAAAAATACTGCTTGCTCTGCTAGATACATAGAAGACCTTTTTGATTTCCAATTTTGCCTTTCACAATTTCAGCCCTTCAGAAAATTGTACTTTAGAATCCAAGAAAATGAAAGACTCCTACTTATTTGAACCTGATGTGTGTAACAAGAGGACTGGAGAACAGAAGAGATTCTATCTGCTGGAGCCCTTCTCTTTAATTGGAGGGTGTGGTCCAATTAAATCATAATTCACATGTGCATTTAAGAAATGCAATAGAAGGAAAAAGATAATTAGGAAGGAATATCTGCAGGTTTCAGAAATTGATATTTATGGTAATTATTAGAACAAGTACAATCTGTCTGATGTTTATGTGAGCATCTACCTTACAGTGCCCATGGCCCATTTGGCCTCTTGGTCACTGTCAGCTCTCTGGGGATTGGTGGGTGCCTAAGTCCTAGGCTGTCCCAGCCCACTGCTGGCATGGCAGGGTACATCCCTGTGCAGCTACTCTGGAGTCTCAGCTTCTACCAGGATCCTGGCTCTTTCAGCCAGCAGAATTGGGCACTGGAGTGGGAGCTAGCAAACATAACTCTCTGCCCAAGATCAGGCAGCACACAGCAGGGTCCATCTGACAATGGACAATCAGAGACACTTCATGTAGGCACATGATTCCCCACATACTATAGCTTGCATTATCCTAAAGCTCAGCATTTCTGAGAGGAGTCTATCAGTCCCACGTTCTTTTAACTGAGTAATTGCCCCATTTGCGGGCTAAACACACACCCAACTTCACCACTTCTAGTGTATGTATATATGTGTGTGTGTACATCTGTGTGTGCCTACTTTATATACATACACATAAGTTTACATGCATATATTTTATACATATACAAATAAGTACATACATGCCTACATTTACATTTATTTCTATTTATTTTACAAAGACTGTATCTAGACATCTCATCATTTGTGGGTGTTTTTTATACAATACCACTGGTGTCTTGTGAAGATTACTTTTTTCTTTAATGGCCTGCAAATACCTTGCTCAACAGTTTTCTGTTTAACCACTTATTCTCCAAGTTCACTGGCTCCCCTTTTTTCCAGCTATATGGCTGCAGCAGCCAGACAACATTTTTCAGGCTTGCTTAGCACCTCTTTAACTTGCATTCTGAAGCTGGGGATTAAGTGATGTCATGCTACAAAGCACAATCTTCCAGTGCAAGATCATCAGCTCAGGTCAAGAAAATCATAGCACTTAACCAAATATAACGTTATGACTATTGCAGTAATAAAATGAAAGAGGTAGGCAGATTACTAAAACTATGTAGATGAAATGGCTGAATCTATAGTCTGATTCAGCAGTTACAAATTAGTGACGGAAACACTAGCTAACCAAACATCTTCAGTAAACCCGAAGGAAGAAAACTGCAAAAGGAAATTAATTACATATCAAGATATTAATAAATTTGTTTAATTTAAAGGCATTTCAGCAGGTACTTATTGCACGCTTATCAACATGACTCGTTAGCATAATTATTCCAGAAATTTTCTTACATAATACAGCCACATGAGAGATTTTCAAGTATTAATTTCCAGTAATATGAGTGAAGAATACAAAAAAAGAGAGATTCTATTTTTATTAATATTAATGGAATAGGAAGAGTCAGAAAATGAATCAATTTAAAGTTATTAGTACATTTTAATTAGACATGGCATTTCCAAACAATATAATTTTGAAAGAATATAATTAGAAATTGCTTGGAATGCTGGCACTGATTATTAGGCATTTAGTCTACTTTTTAAAACTTGCTAGACATAAAAGAAGATCTAAAAGATGATTTGCCTGCAAGGGGCTCAGAGTAGACCCAAATCATTAGGTCAAAACAACAAACAGATAACACGGAAAAAAAAAAAAGCTAGAAAATAGATTTTGAAAAAGTTCTGAGATGTAGGAACACAGGTAGATATTTTCTTAAGAGCCTGACAATTGAAGTGACTTATTTTGCTGCCTGCATGACGACTTTGACGGGGGCTAACTTAGAAAGTTTCAGTAATCTATATTATTCGCTGAGTATTAATGCTTAATTGCTCAGTATTGATCTGGTGGGAGTCTCCATTTCCATCTGCCTTGCTGATGCATCAATGGGTCTCTCCACAGCTTGTGTCTCAGCAGCTCCACTCTCCCACAGCAACTTGGGCTCAGGACAGCAGCTGCAGGGGCTGTGTAAGGGCACAGGGCAGCACGCACGAGCAATCGGACCCCCGGGCTGGGGCTTGGGCTGAGAGGCCATGGGAAGATGTGGCTGTGGTCAGTGCTCAGGAAATGCAAAAACTGCACCTCTTGGTTGGCTTTTGAGTACAGCTGAGAAACTCCTTCAGCACTTTATTTTTCCACACTATTTTCCTGAGAGAGGCAACCCTGGATTTTATAATTTATTTGACATTTCTTACGAACTTCAGCAAGGTAGACTGGATTTGAGCATCTGTTGGTCCTGTTTTTCAGCATCTATATTCTAGCTTGCCTGTCAAATATTATTTCAAGCTTTCCACAGCTTTGTCTTCTGCAACCTGTTTCGTAGTGAGTTAGCCTGAGGCACTCCACTTTCCCATATTTTCCAGCATTTGAATAATCTAATCCATTCTGAAGGGGGTGTTCATGAATATCCCTTTATACCTCAAGGGAGGCATGGACTGGTGGCCGACAGGGTAAGCCCTCATGCAAAGAGTTTACAACAGTGTTATTTTCAACCTATGCAGCACCATGGGCTCTGGGAGCATATGTCACACAGCATGGTCAGCTTGTCTGCAGGAGATCCAGACATGGCCCTGAATATGTCACCTCTACTTGCTCGCACATTCAGTCTCTCTAATTATTGTTTGATCTTGCTTTTTTCAGCTTAACTCCTTTCCTGACCTGCTTTAAAGGAAATTTTTGGAAAAGATTAAAGAACAGAGGTATGATTCATGCCCTACAACAAGGGCCAGAAGTTAAAAAGAAAAATATTCCTTCTGAAGATTCAGCTGAATAAAAAATTATACAATCAAGAACTTGTGTCAGCTCCAGTCTCTCTTCGCTTGTGAAATGGCCCAGATGAAAATGACTGATCTGATAGGAAATATGAAAGAGATGCTGACCTTCACTACTGTTCAGTCTTTGAACTTCTTTGTTCCCACCATGCTTGTGAAGCAGCAACCTGCCTCGTGCACAGCAGCTACCAATGACCTTCTGGTCAGTGTGGATGCCAGTGATCTCTGTGTCTTGCAGTTTCGTTCAAAGGAGCCCACACTGAGGAATTACAATGAAATTACACATGCAGCTTTTTAAAGTACAGTTAATATAATCACAGATCATGAGGCACCATAAGGTTTCATCCCACAGGGCAATTCTCCCTTCCACCAGCCACAGTGATTCCAGTGCCATCTCTCTTCTCCAGGTCGGTCTCCAACCTTAGCTTCCTTTCCTCACTTTTGATTGCTTTGTATTCACGCCTTTCCCCCTTCCCTTACATCAGCAATCAAAGCTAAGACAGATAGCACGTATACCAGCCCTCATGGTATATCTGGTAGGTATGTGCTGAAAAAAAAACAAATATTTTTTTGAGCTGGGAGGTACCACCTTCTGCAGTGTTTTTACAAGTAGTAGGTCAGTAGATTTTTAATTTCAGCCAAAATAATTTCTGTCCTCTGTAATAACTGCAGTTAATGCCAGTGGCAATGGGAAAGAAACATTCCTGCCTCGTGGCAGCTATGTGCTGTATAGCATAGTTGTATAGCCGTTGTGTGCTGGCCACTTCATCCCACTCATCTGTTGAATCTGACTTAAAAAGAGGCACTAAATTGCTTTCGTAACTTTCTTCCTTATTTTTTTCTGCAGGAGGAGAAAATGGCTGAAAGAAGCTCTGCCACAGAGTACTGCCTTTTTCTATCACGATCCTTCCAAGCATGCCTATCTTCCTGCAGCTGAACCTCATGCTTGCAAGAAATACAAGAAGAGAAAAAAAATCATCCCTATTCTTCCTATAGGGAAATGGTACACTGCCCCTCCAAAAGGAATTTGCAGGAGTATTTAAGTTTCAAGGAATGTTTCCTTCAAATAGTATCATTCATTACTATGTCCTACACTGTTTACACAAAAAGATCCTGGGCTCCACACTTGAATTTGTATAACAGTTTAAAAACCTAATTGTGTTAAAGCCTGTTCAAACAAAATTTCACAAGGCTTGCCCACCCTTGCTTCTCTATCATTTCCGCTCTTTAGATTGCATTAGGCTGGCAGAAAGACTTGCCACATTGCTTCTTTCTGTTTTTAATCTGAAGTGAGAAATCTAGTTACAAACTTCTGATTCTGTTTAAACTGAGCTCTGTTTTGAGATGCTGGGCTAATGTGAACTGAAACTTACATTTAAAAAGCAGGGATTAGATGGAATGGATGGTGTCTTACAAAAA